CAATTAAGTGATAAAAACAAGCAAAAACTACTTTAAAAGAAAAATTAAAACAATGTAATTATGTGAATGAAAGACAAAAGAAAACTAAATAAATACATGTATTAGAAAAAATAAAAGAAAGTTAAAGAAGGATTCAAAAGATTAAAAAGACATTAAAAAATACAACTATAATAACAAAATTAAATAAGACGGATTAAACAGAATAAAAATTGAAAAACAAATAAAAAATTAAGAACCAACAATAAATTAACTAAAAGTAAAAATTAATAAATAAAATTAAAAATATAATATAATATATACTGAAAGAACTCTGATGAGGGAATGTAGTGATTGCCGAAATGGCTATCACTTCAACCATTTTTTTCAAGTTATTGCTGCTTTTCCACAATAAGTTTTTCATTAAAAACGGCCTCAAGCTCAATAAAAATTGTTGAAGAAATATAAAAAGTAACAAGTAATTTTTAGCAAAAAAACCGACTTCAACTCTCATATGAAAAAAAAAAAATACATATATATATATCTCATGATCCACTGATCGGATCTTAACCAGATTAGTATGGGACCACCTCTGAGACACTACCTTTCCGATCGAAGAATTATCGAAATCGGTTGACGTGGTCCAAAGTTACGCGGTAACATACATAAAAAAAAAATAAATAAAATATTCCGACGAACTGATAACCTCATCCTTTTTTGGGTGTCGGTTAAAAATATTAATATAAAGAAATAAAGAAAGTTATTAGAATTAAAAGATTTAAGAAGATTAAAATAAGTTTTAAAAAATTTTAAAAAGATTAAAATAAACTAAAAAATTTAAATATTATAAACTTTTAAAAAACAAAAAAAAAACTTAAAAGCAATAAATAATGAATTAAGAAAATTTAAGGTAAAAAGAAGTAAAAAAATAAATATAATTTAAAAATATTAAAAACTAAAAAGAAATAAGATATTAGAAAATAAATTTTTAAATTTCGATTTCATTCTCTTAATGTGGAAATTAAAAACGAACTAAAACTAAATTATATATGTACATATCTGTTTTAATTCTTGTCTCCATGTATGCAAATTGAAAATTCTGTCCGATGGGACCTGATTACCTGATTTACAAAAAATAAAATTTTTTATGGAATAAAATTTAACTACACCAAATTGGGTCTTGTCCGGGGTGAGCCCGATATTAGTCGCAATGAAACATTAAGGGCCGTTTTCACCATGTTTGGTTAACACTAATCGCCAGTCGGCCTTAAAGAGCGTTTTGACCATCTCTACGCACTACTCTACTTGATTCAATCAAAATTCTAGACATTTTTATTCAGCATTTGTACAGCAATAAGAATCCATTCGCCCTGAAGGCGATCAATTAAAGCCTGATATGAAGATGATCTCATCTTCGACCTTCTCATATGGCCATGTACTACGTGGCACACATGGACGCGTTTAGTATGTATGTATGTATGTATGTATGTACGTGTGTACATTTGTTAAATGTGTTTAAATATATTTAACGATGACGGAGCACTTCATACGATTTTGTATTTAAATATCATGGCAAAGTACTTGAATTAGGTATTTACTTAAACTTTATATTTAAATTTTTATAAAAGAGTACGTTCAGATCATACTGCCACAGATATGTATGTATGTACATATGTATGCACATAACGATTGCGTCACCCAAACGATAACAGGAGAGCTTTCTCGGTTTTGTTTTCAAGCAAAATTTTCTTTCAAGGGATTGAATTACAACCAGCGCTATAAAAACAAAGTCGAATTTCTACGTTTATATTTGTTTACCAGGTGTGGTTGTCATAGCATTTAAAAAGTAGTAAATTATCTCTTTCTTAAGTTGATAAAACTCCCAGTGAGAATGAGTTTGTATAAATTCTCCATGATGACGTTGCCTACGCCTTGTGTTAGCACAATAAATGCAATGAATATGCTGCATATTTATTAGGGTGGTCATTAAAAATATCAACATCATGAGGCACCCGCGTATTTTGTTCTACGTACAAAATAAAAACAAATTTTTTTTTTAAATGTTGGGGACGCTACCAGGGTTTGAAAAAAATTTATTTTTTATCGCAAAAATTCAACAAAATTTTTACTCTGACTAGCTGTAACTCAGGGAGCTGATGAATTTACTAGCATATGAATAAGTTTCAATAATATATGACACTTTAATTTAGAAAAAATATTATTATTATTTTTTTAATTTTGAAACTTTCGTGTATGTTTTTACTTTGTACGTAGAACAAAATAAATGAATGCCCCATACAAAATTTAGATGTTTAAATATTTTCGGACCACCCTAATACATACATATGTATACTAAAATAGCGCGATGTCAAGATTATTCTCTACTACATATGGAACTCAGTGTATAATTCACGAGAAAATAAAGTCTGATCAATTTTGTTAGTCACTGCATCCACATTTATCTGATCCTTTCTTTCATATACTTCGGCGGAGTTTCACCCACTTCTTATTTATAGCCTTGACATTTGTTTGCATTTCTTTAACTCTTTTGACATGTTCTTCGTTCATTTCGCACCAAACTAAAGAGCAAAACGTAAAAAAAAAATCAAAATATACATACAAATGTTTACAAACAAATCAAAGTAAATCTACTCAGCAGTGAAAATTACAAAGCTAATAATTCATCTGTGAAGAATGGATTTGGTATTAATCGTTCCAAGAGAATTGGTATTTTGTGAAGAAACATATAGTGTGAACCCCCAAGTGGGACTATGACTCCAACTCCCGTCAAGTGTATTTAACTCCTATAAATCTTCATCTAATAAACCCCTTCGACGCACTCTAACGAAGCTATAATGCGAATCGATGTATAGGCCACATATTTGGTGCCGTAAGTGTTCTAAACCTGTTTCTGGAAAAGCTGAGACTCATAGACTACAGCGCTCCTCTACTCGTTAGACAAAAAGGAAAGGCGCCGAAAACCTCAGTTAAAGTTTGACTTAAATTTTTAAAACGAACAATAGCTTAAGAGTAGACTCTATTTAAATCTTCCAAGATAAATTAATACTATCTATGTGATCTATAGTATTACGACGTACGACGACAACCAATGTGCCAACAAATGATGTATTTTGGAACGAATTTAAATCGTCCTTTAGAATTGGAGACAAACCGGTTTCCGCGAAGAGACAGCTCTTTTTTCATTCTTTCTGTTTTCAAATCCCAACGGTAATAAACTACCTCTTAAGTAGCTGTTTAAGACGTGAGTACTAGGGTGTTCGATTGTTCGCCTCTTTCTAAAACCGGTTTTCGAGTTATTCGAAAAATTTTTATTCAAAAAAACTGGTTCACGATCTAGAAATTAGGAAAAAAAAGGATAACCCGGTTTTATTTTGCATAGTTTTCATACAGTGAAAATGCTTATATTGGTATGAAGTCAAGACCAAAAATTACAATAAAATTATTAAGTCAATATGGCTTTTATTTAGAAAAGAGCAAAGCAAAATAAGTACAAAGTTTTTTTTTTTTTTTAATCAAAAGTAAAACAAACAAAAATCAGTGATAAACTCACTTTTGGTTATATTTTTTTAATAATATTTTGCAATCTTCTGACTCTCTTCGGATTCGAGTAGTGCTCTTTCCGCCGTCACCGAGTGCTTAGATGCCCCTACTGCCGCTCGGGAGGTTCATGATTCAATTTCTTGTCCCAGTAACACCAACATACATAGTTGTCGCCCAATGGCAGAAAATGATGAACATCCGAGTGTACTTCTGCCGTAAAAAAATCAGAACACAAATTGGAAGAGAAGCTCGGTCAAACACATAGAAAGCGTTTAAGTGCCGAACATTCATTTATTGGAGTCGAATGAGATATACTGTTCATCCCCAAATAACCTTGGATATAATTTTAAAAACTATTTAGAGATTTCCCTTAAACTGGAGAAAGCTTGAAAAACTTCTAAAAACTCGAAACTTTTATTGAGAGGTCACGTTAATCAGGTTTATTCGATATAGGAATAATCAAGATTTAAAACAACCGCCTAGAGATATTCCAAAAAACTGATGGAAACCAGTTAGGAATAACCGAGTCAATCAGGAAAGTGGAGCGTAAAAGAATCAGGTAAAAAAAATCTGAATTGAAGGAGATTCCATATCAAATCACAGGGCATACATATCTGGCGAGATTTCGATATGAAATGGTCCAAACTACAAACAAAACTCAACAGTCCTTCAATCAACAAAGTAGTTGGTATCACAACTGTACACTGATTGAAAGATTTACAGGGTAAGAAGATGGGCTTTCCATTCAATAAATTTTTCCATAGCTGAGTTGCCTAAAATTTTGGTGGCTCCCTTTGCAAATTCTAGGCAAGTATGTATTAGTTCATAAATATTGATATTTCTATACTAGTACTTAGGAGAAATACTCGAGTACCTTCCCCAAGTAATGAGTATTATTTACCCTGAGTATACTTAAGAAGCTACTAGGTGAGTATCGAGTAAAAAGTAGAATCGAATACGTCCCAGCGATATTTTAGACAGCATCGAGTAGTATTTTCGACTATTCATGAATCGGAATATTTTTTAGCTAGTTAGGCCTTTTTCTACGAAGTATTTTATACCTAACTGTATATGTTTGCTAGCATATCTAACGACTGATTACTACTGTCTATTTATCTTTTCTCGCACTTCGTGGTGAAATGCAATATTTGTACGAGATAAAAATAATAATACACATCTAATCTTAAGTGAAAACAAGTGATAGTTGGAGTTAGCTTCACCTACTATAAAAGTCTAAGATTATTTGGCAATTCGAGTTGTTCCACGCGAGTTTGTCGGCGACAGTGATGGGGTCCACAAAACGGAATTTCATCATAATTAATAGAATGAATTAACACAAAAATTGTGTTACAATAACAATTGAGTCTTTTATTTACAAGGATAACGATACTTTCGAACTGATTTTACGAATAAGGGAAGTGTTAACGCATTAGGTGTAATTTTAAGGAATAATTCGAATCATCATGCTGCTTAAGCTTTGCAATAGTTCCGAAGGCGTATTCCGCAGCGAATTTCGCAAGCAGTTGTTGGCGACCTTGAGTGGTGAGTACAGTTAGCAGATTATTGAAATTCTCGAACGATTTTTTGCTGCCTATAGAGCGCAACAAATATTAAGGAATTTAATGAACTTATGTTCTATCGCACCTCCTTCGCCTAGTTACCATTATCACCTATTGCAACGGCATCAGCCTTGGTTGGTTCGCGCCCATGGTAACTAAAATACAGTCGCCAATCGAAACGCCACATGACTTTAGCGCATCCGTGGAGGAGGGTTCCTGGTTGGGTGCCGTGGTATGCGCTGGTGGCGTTACTGGCAACATAGTTTACGGTCTGCTTTTGGATCTCATCGGGCGTAAGCTGTGCATATATTTACTTGCCGTACCACATATAGTAAGTTTGGCTAAGGCTATATAAAAACACTAGGCGACAAATGAAAGTGTACCTCCTTTTCTAATATAGTATTACTTATTTTCATGAAAAATTTTTTGGATTAATTATTTATAAAAATATAGTTCTACAGTAATACAAACCATATAAAGTTCAAAAAATTCTAAAAAATTTCGTCAAAAATTTAAACTTTTTATTCAGAATTTCTAGGATATTTTCAAGTACTTATGCAGTTTTGTGGCCCAGTTGTGAAGGGCCAGTTTCAAGTCGCTAAAAATTACCGTTGATTTTTTTAGAACTTTTTTTTGGTCGCAATTTATTTCTATATTGGAAGAAACCCGTACACCCTCCGCAAAAAAAATTAACACTAAAATCGAATGGGCTACAAAACCGCGTACTCGAAAATTTACTAGAAATTCTGAATAAAAAATTGAAAGTTTTATGAAAAGTTTTTTGAATATTGTGAACTTTATATAAAGTATGAAACTTTGATTTATATATCGTCGGTCCCTACGAAGAGTAGCACATTTCACTATTCGCGTGGAAGACTAGCACATTTCACTATTTGCGTGGAAGACTAGCACATTTCAGATTTTTGCGTGGAAGACTAGCACATTTCAGAATTTTGCGTGGAAGAGTAGCACACTTCAGATTTTTGCGTGGAAGAGTAGCATATTTCACTATTTGCGTGGAAGACTAGCACATTTCAGATTTTTGCGTGGAAGACTAGCACATTTCAGATGTTTGCGTGGAAGAGTAGCACATTTAAACTAAATCATAAAAGCATAATTTATATTGGAAATTCAAGTGCTTATTTTATATTTGTGTAATTCTATTATAAAATTCATAAAATTCCGACGGTATATCCTATGATTCCTTTGATTATTTTTGTCGCATTTGCTACTATATAACGAATAAACACAATTTATTTTTATATGAAAGAAAACCGCAACAACGGAAATTTTTTAGCCACTTGAAACTTGCACGTTGTTGCAATAAAATTGAAAGGGCTTTAATTCTATATACTCAAAAAATTCTTAGAAAAAAATTATTTGACATTTGGATGAAAATTTTTAGATTTTTTTAGTTTTCTATAAAGTTTTAAATTTGGGTTTATATCATGATTCAATAATACAAGGTTGTGTAATTTGTGACAGCTAAAATTTGACACTCCTCTATCTAGATTTGTATTTTGGAAGTAGGAGAAAGGGGAAGAATGTGATCGCATTTTGCGAAAACGGTAGTAGAATGGTACTACAAAAAGTACGCAAAGTATACAATTAGAAGTAAAATGTGTATTATTAATTCTATGCGAATTTGCAATATATTTGGTGTTTTAATGGGAATACTAAACAATACATAAAAATATGCATTTTCGAATTAAGTTCTTCGTCATTTCCGGGAACAAATCTAGAATGCCGACCGTTCAGCTATGCAAAAACTATAAATGCGGATCAATAGAACTTTTTATGCTCATTTCAGCCATGCCAAAATTTGGCGCAAGTAAAAAATGAAGAGGTTCTAGAAGGTTAAAGTTCAGTTTTTAGATATTTTAAATGTTAATATCTTATGTAATTTATAACCAATTAAACAGCTAATGACGTCACCATAAAGGTCATTAATTTGTTCTTCAGCTGATGTACATAATTTATAGCTTTTTGTATTTTTAAACCAAAACCACTAAAAATCCAAGAAATATTATTTTTTCATGAAATAACCTTTTTTGAAAAAACTGCATAATTAATCGTAAAGAATTTTATATAATTTAGAAAGTACAAGTTATTATCTTTAATTCGATATTACATACTTTATCATGATCTACTTTTGGGTTTCAACAATTTAGTGATAATAAAAAATACAAATAAACCTCTTATATCTTCTTTTTTTACCAGTGACAAATAAATTTGGTATCGTTGAAATCAGCGTAAAAAGTTCTATCAATCGGCATGTTTGGTTATTTTATAGCTAAACGGTCGCTATTCTACACTTGTTCTAGAAAATTACGCAAACCAATGTGACGCCAACGAATATTTAGTATGAAGAATTTTTGGTTTTACTACTAATATCACTAGAAACTCTAGAGTAAGCAACATTATGCACAAGTAAAGGAGCCGATTTTATGTGTGGGAGCGAGAAGACTGTTTTATTACAAAACCTTTCTATTATTGAATCATGGGTTTATATGGACTTCTTCAGAGAATGAACTTTATTTTAATGAAAATTCTTAAAAATAAGTAAATAAAAATAAGTGGAAAACAATATCACTTTGAAATGAGGTGCTTTTGATATGACTGCATGTACATTAGGGTGGTCCAAAAACAGTAGTCGGAATTGTAATGCTCTCACTCCCTAGGATTGTTGTATATAGAAAAGTGTACCGATATTTTTTTTTTAAATCAAAAAATATTTAGTGGTCGTTCAAAGCGCTCAAAGTTTTCCCTGTATTTTTGTATGGGAAAAAACAACTTTTCGTAGAAATGGTATAGAATTTTTGAAAATCAATATTTTTCGATCAGAAAACTCTGGTTATTTTCAGGAGACTTTCAATAATAATACGCAATTATTTATTTAACAATTTTTTAATACTAACGATTTTTTATTTGTCCCCCATTGCATTTTTCGGGGTTTTTGGGGTTTTTGGCGGACCTACAAATTATAGTTGCGATGAAAAAAGGTTAAGTAAACAATTGGGTATTATTATTGGGAATACTGCAGCTGAAAAAAGTTTTCCGATAGAAAAATAGTTTTTTTGAATTATATACCATTTCTACCAAAAGTGTTTTTCCCCATATAAAATATGTACATGGGAAACTTTGGGCGCTTTGAGCGACCTCTAACTATTTTTTCGGTATAGAACAATCTTGGGGGGTGAGAGCATAAAAATTCCGACTTTACTTTTTCACATGCATTTTTGGACCACCCTAATGCACATATATGTTTCTCGTATTTATAAATAGATTCCCTGAGGAAGACGCGAATATGCGTCCAAACGAGTAGGAGGAAAATAAACGTTTATTCTTGTTGTAATAAAATACCGAAAAGCTCCATACACAACATTAAACTCTCAGCTTAGTCGAGGAGAAATAATTATTACATACACGTATGTTTGGTTTTTGTACGGCTGCTAGTACCACTTTATATGAATTCGCTATTCTTCTACGCGAGTATCTGAAATGTGCTACTCTTCCACGCAAAAATCTGAAATGTGCTAGTCTTCCACGCAAATAGTGAAATGTGCTACTCTTCCACGCAAAAATCTGAAATGTGCTACTCTTCCACGCAAAATTCTGAAATGTGCTACTCTTCCACGCGAATAGTGAAATGTGCTAGTCTTCCACGCGAAAATCTGAAATGTGCTACTTTTCGACGCGAATAATGAAATGTGCTAGTCTTCGACGCGAAAAGTGAAATGTGCTAGTCTTCCACGGTAATTTGAGATGTGCTACTCTTCGTTGGGAGCGACGATATATACTTTATATTATAGAACGAACTATTTTTTCATAAATAATTGATTCAAAATTTGTTTTTATTAAAATACACTTTCACTGTCGCCTAGCGTATATGCATCACCATTTGAAAAAAAAAACAATTATCATTTGTACAAAAAATATTAGTGCTTTTGGATACTAGTCTATTTTGCGCCAAGCATTGAATATCTCTATGCCGCGCGCTTCGCCTCTGGCATGACTGGTGGCGGCACATGGGTGGTCATTCCCATCTATATCGGAGAAATCGCCGATCCAAGGTTAGTTGCGCTTCTTTTATTTAAGCTTATTAAATACTTTACTCCTCATTCTTACACCAAACATAAATAGCATACGCGGTCGCCTCACTTCACTATTTACGCTCACGCTCAACGCCGGCATGCTTACCGGCTACATACTAGCCTCTTATGTACCCTATCATTGGATACCAATCGTGGTATTACCATTGCCGGTGCTATTTCTTCTAATCGAATTCTACTTGCCCGAAACGCCATCATACCTTTTGCGTTGCGAGCAGGAAGCGCTTGCGGAGAATTCACTAAAATTCTATATGAATTACAAAGCTTCAGCTAAGCTTGAAATCGAGCAATTCAACATGAAATTTGCCGAGTTGAAAAACGTGATGAAGAAGCAAAACACGCAAGCGAATGCGGTCACAATACGCGACTTCTGTAAGTTTAGTTAAATTTAATTTAAGATATCTCTATTAAAAATAAAAAAATAAAAAACAAATCATAATGACGCTCATTTTCACTTTCGCAGTCACCAAACGCGCGCTTAAATCTATAAGCATTGGCATCACATTGATGTTTATCTACACTTTCAGCGGCACCTTTGCCCTGCTCAGTTACATGTCGAGCATATTTGCGGCAATCAAAACAGATGTACATCCCGATACGAATACTGTCATCGTTGGTGTGGTGCAAATTGTCGGCGCATATATGGCCATTAGCTTGGTGGATCGTTATGGCCGCAAAATTTTACTCATGACCTCCACAGCGGCCGTGGGTATTTGTCTGTCCTCTTTCGGCATGTATGCTTACTTAGCTGAGAAAACTAGCGTAGATCTAACGGCGTATCGCACATGGCTACCAGTCATGCTTGTGGCGCTTATTATACTCACTGCCAATATGGGTCTCCTACCTGTGCCTCCGGTTGTGATGGTGGAGGTACAGCAAGCAAAGGTAAGCAACATGAAAGCTTGAAATAATATATGACCCTAAAATTATTCTATATTTTTTTTTTTACTTTTTCAGATCCGTTCAAAGGCTGTATCCTTCTGTGTGACAATATCGAGCGCTTTAGGCTTTGTCATGTTGAAAATCTTCCTGCCATTTCTGCATGCTTATGGCTTAGCGGCAACAATGTGGGCTTGCGCGTCATTTGCTGCTTTTGGACTACTCTATGTAACTCTATTCGTGCCAGAGACTAAGGGAAAGTCCATGAATACAGACGAGGAGAAGTAAAGACAATGATTGAGAATATAATTTCTACCTGCACATATTGCACGCGCTCTTCCAAAGAGTATAAATATTTGCATTAATTAATCGTAAGAGGTTATTTATGCAAACAAATCTATCTAATTTTATTTTAGATCTGCCTCTCTTGAAGAGGGTGTGCGATGTATATATGGTTAATTGATGTAAATATTGCTTAAGATATTGACGTCCCAGAGACACATTGAAGCGAACCTTTTCACAATTTCGGAATATCTAAATAAATCACTTCTTTTTGAATATGTTATAATTTGGTATTGAACAATAACAGCGAAAGGATTAATTGTTCACATTCTCATTTTTGAGTTAAGTTTTTTAAGAGCTCTTACAGAAAAAAAACTGAAAAATTCATATAAAATGATGTTCAAAAAATGAAAAAGATTACTCCTATAAAATTTTCTTAAGTCAGTTTACACTTCTCATGAAAACTATGTTTGAAAAAAAAACCGAATTATCAATCCCCCTAGAACATACATAAACATGTTTGTACATATTTGTAATCGCTTAAAATTGTTTAACAAAATTGTTATTTAATTGAATTTATTATACATTTTGCTTTTTTTAATTTTACTTAAATACTATTCATCCGTTATACATACTTAATTTTTAATTTTTTGAGTTTTGAATTTTTAGTTTAATTACGAAAAAAGTAAAAGATTTTAAAATAAGAGGTTTCAAAAAAAAAAGGATTCACAAGTCGAAAAATTAAAAATAAAACATAAATAGTAAAGGCAATTTTTCAAATAAGCTAATATCAAAATTTTTTTGCTCGTTCTAGTTACTTCACCTTGTATAACTCGGCCATGTTTAATCCAAATATTAAAAAGGAAGACGAAAAAATTAAATGTTCATGTTTTCCGCTTAAAAAAAAATATATTTCGGCATTATCTCACTGTCCTATCTGTTCATCAACCTAAATGAGCTATTGCTGCGCCTAAAAGTATGCAACCTAGCATGCTGGGAATTCTTAAACACCTTATAAAATAATTAAGTTGTATAGTTGCGTTTAGTTGTTGGTATCCCTAAGCAAGATTATCGAAAATATTTACATAATAGTGCAATTTCAATGGCAACGAAACGTTCTACTTCTGTGAAATTTTAAAAACCTTCGTTTATTTTTACAATTAAATGGACAATTAAAAGAGTAACCCTTACTAAGCGCCAAAATTTCAATCAACTATACTTTCTTAAGCCAATAATTTCACTCAAAATAATCTTGGAGGCTGAACTCCGAACTTTGGCTTAACTTTATACATTAAAACTCAGTTAACAATGAAGGCTTAAAACATCGTAGATATATACCGCGCGTGTCACATAAAGCGTCTAAGTGGAAACGACTGGGCTGACCCTACGACCTGGCAAAACAAAAACAACAAACAACAACAACGGAAGTATAATTCAATGATTTTAAGTGGAAATGTAAACAAAAGGAACTTTTACAAAATTTCGTGTGTTTCTGCTGCAGTTGTTGTTGTTGTTGTAGTTAACGTGGGACAATGCAACAATTTCATGTCTGCATTTACATATATACCTACGTACATACAGTATCGGTCATATCTATAGCACGCCATTTCAAAGTGATATTGTGTGCCACTTATGTTTATTTATTTATTTTTAAGAATTTTCAATTAAAATATAATTCTTTCTCTAACAAAACCCATATAAACCCAAATTTAACAATTTGTAGAAAACTACAAAAAAGTGCAACAAATTTTCATATAAATTTCAAACTTTTTTCACCGAAGTGTTTGAATTTTTCTGAATACACAGTGTTATAGCCCAATCAATTTTAGTCTGATAATGTGCAAGTTTCAATGGCTAAAGGTTACCGTTGATTTTTTAGAATTTTTTTCGCCAAAGGTGTTGCGGTTTCCTTCCATATACAAATAAATTGAGTTTATTCATTATATGGAAGCCAATGCGACAAAAAAAATTCTAAAAAATTAACGGTAATTCGTAGCCACTTGAAATTTGCACATTATCAGACTAAAATTGCAGGGGCTAAAAAACTGTGTACTCAAAAAAATTCATACACTTCCGAGAAAAAAGTTTGAAATTTAGGTGAAATTTTGTTGCACTTTTTTGAAGTTTTCTACAAATTGTTAAATTTGGGTTTATATGGGTTTTGTTAGAGGAAGAATTATATTTTAATTGAAAATTCTTTAAAAATAAATAAATAAACATAAGTGGCACACAATATCACTTTGAAATGGCGTGCTATAGATATGACCGATACTGTATATTCTATTTTATTTAGCGATTTTTGTTTGCTAAAAGTGAAAAGTTTTT